TTAGGTATGTAGGAGGAGTTGGTATCCTCTTTTCTCTTCCAGTTTATGAATAAGAAATTTGCAGCTTTCTGCCCCTGTCCTGTGTTTTACTTTCTTGTCACATTTCTCTTTTAACTCTGCCCACTATGCTATTCAATTTTTATCCCCTGTTGTGTTAATTTCAGCATAAAGACACAAATACCGCTGTATAAGGCCAACATTTGGTATCAGAGCAAAGGCTAGTTGTTGCATGCCAAAGTATCAGACTCGTGAAGAGATGTCAGGAGGCAATGGAAATGGAGAGAAAGAAGGACAGATCACCTTTCATTATCTGATGTTGTCAAGAAGCAATTACTCTGCATGGGCCATAAAGGTGAGAGTTTTCATGCAGGCCCAAGGAGTCTGGGATGCAGTGGAATCCAGGACTTCAAACACTGTTGTCGAAGTAAAGAAGGATAAGATGGCTTTGGCTGCTATCTATCAAGGGATACTAGAGGATTTGCTATTGTCCTTGGCTGAGAAGAAAATAGCCAAAGAAGCTTGGGAGGCATTGAAGACAATGTACATGGGGGCAGAACGAGTCAAAGCAGCGAGGATTCAAACATTGAAGGCTGAGTTTGAATCCTTAAACATGAAAGAATCATAAGGAGTTGATGAATTTGGTGCGAAAGTAAGCAACATCATGAGGACCATACGAACATTGGGGGCACAATGATTGAAGCCTACGTTGTGAAGAAACTGCTAAGGGCAGTCTCGACCAAGTTCCTTCAAATTGATTCAACATCATGAGGACCATACGAACATTTGGAGACCTAGAGACAATGACAACCGAAGAAGTAATCGGAAGGCTAAAGGCTCATGAGGAAAGGATGAAAGGGCATGGTGAAAGTGATGAAAGAAAACTACTCTTGACTCATCAAGAATGGTCAGAGAGAAGCAAAAAGAAGATAGAAGGAGACTCCAAATCCAAATAAAACCAAGGAGGGTCTGGAGGCTCAGGAGCACGAGGCAAAGGAGGAGGTAGAGGTACTGGTGGTCGTGGGACTCGTGGAAAAGGAGTTTCACACTACCAGAAAGATGGAGGAAGAGGCACATCCAGTAATCAAGATAAAAGCAAGATCCAGTGTTACAACTATCAGGAGTATGGCCACTATGCAGCGTAATACCCAAATCCAAGGCGTGAAAGAAGTTGTGAGAACAACCTGATCCGTGAGCAAGAAGACAATGAGCCAGCACTACTGTTAGCATCGTTTCATAATGATGGAGAGGCTGGTGAAGTGTTTTTAAATGAGGAAAATGTAACCCTAGAACTGAGAACACGAGAAGAAGAAGTAAATAGGTCAAGTATGTGGTATCTTGACACAGGGCAAGTAATCACATGACCGGTGACAAGTATAAGTTTCGTGAGTTAAATGAAAAAATTCGGGGGTATGTAAAATTTGGAAATGAATAAAGGGTGAGGATCGAAGGAAATGGTTCAATCGTGTTTCAATGCAAGAATGGTGATCATCGAAAGCTTGATGAAGTCTATTATATCCCAGACTTATGTAGCAACATAATAAGTCTAGGACAGCTGGCTGAGGGAGTAAATGAAATCAAGATCAAGGACCCGTTTCTATGGATTCATGATACAACAGGTAAGCTTCTAATGAAAGTGAGGAGATCACCTAATTGACTCTACAAAATAGAGTTGGTAGAGGCTAGATCAATGTGCTTAATTGCTAGAATTAGTGATCCAACATGGCTGTGGCATGTGAGAATGGGTCACACAAATTTCACTTCAATGAAAAATATGTCGAAGAAAAAAATGATTGAAGGGATACCCAAATTAAACATCCCTACAAAACCATGTGAAGGGTGCTTGTCTGTAAAGCATATAAGAAAGCCATTCCCTTCACACTTGAGTTAGAGGGCAAAGAAAAGGCTTAAGCTTGTTCACGGTGATCTATGTGGACCGTATCACCCCCTACACCCTCAGGAAGCAGGTACTTCATGTTGCTAGTAGATGATTATAGCATAGTTACGTGGGTTTACTTGCTAAAGTAAAAATATGAGGCCTTTGATGTATTTAAGAACTTCCAAAGGAAGGTGGAAGTCAAAACAGGGGAGAAGTTGAAGATGTTCAGGACTAACCGTGGTGGTGAATTTCTATCAAATAAATTCACCGCATACTACAATGAAACAGGACTGGAAAGACAATATACATCTCCATTCTCTCCACAACAAAATGGGGTTGTCGAGAGAAGGAGTCGAACAGTATTAAAGATGGTCAGGTGTAACTTGAAAACCATGAGGATGCCAGATAGCCTGTGGGGTGAAGCTTTTAATCACTCTGTTTATGTTCTCAACAGAGCACACATAAAGGCTTTGAACGATGAAACCCCATACGAGATGTGGACCGGAAGAAAGCCACACATTGAACATCTTAGGGTGTTTGGATGTGTGGTACATATGAAAGTTGTCAAAGGGCACTTGGCAAAATTGTATGAAAGAAGCATTCGACTGGTACATCTAGGGATTGAAAAGGGAACTAAGGCTTATAGGTTGTTGGACCCGGATACTGGAAAGATGTACGTGAGTAGAGATGTGGTCTTTGATGAGCAACAATGTTGGGCGTGGGAGAAGAGTACGAAAATCAAAGCGATACCGGGCATGAGTTTCACTGTCGATGGTTTCAACCTAGATGAGGTTTATGATGGTGAGCTCGACTGCGAACCTAGTATGCCACAACATGAAAATGGGTCATCACAAAATGTTAGTGATTGGATTGAAGGTTCATATCCCATTAACTCACAACTGTATTCACAAATGAACCCACCTGGAATGCACTCAAGTCCACCATCAACACCTATTTCCCAAATTACGCCAATTTCACCTGTATCACAAGACAGCTCAGCTAGTACCGCTTCCAGTTCCACAGGTGGTGGTGCCCCAAAACGCTATAGATTGCTTACGGATTTGTACGAGAACACAGAGGAAGTCCACATACCACCAGAAGAGCTTATGATGATACACAACAATAACGAACCAACATCGTACAAAGAAGCAAGTAAGAAAAGGGAGTGGGTAGAAGCAATGGACGCAGAACTGGCCTCGATTGAAAAAAAACAACATCTGGAAGCTAGTCAATCTTCCAAAGAATTGAAGGGCCATCAGATTAAAATGGGTATAGAATCTAAAACGAGATCCAAATGGGAAGATTGTGAAATACAAGGCTAGGATTGTGGCAAAGTGGTATATTCGGAAGCACGACATTGATTATGACGAGGTATTCGCACCGGTGGCCAGAATTGAGACAATTCGACTTATCCTAGCCTTAGCCAGATCAAATGCATGTAAGGTGCACCAACTGGATATGAAATCGACATTCCTAAATGGCGACTTAGAGGAAGAAGTCTACGTTGCCCACCCAGAAGGATACCAAAAGAAAGGTGAGACTCAAAAAGTCTACAAGTTGTCAAAGGCCCTATACGACTTGAAACAGGCACCCAGGGCCTAGAACGTCTGCTTGGATCAACACTTAAAGAAAATAGGCTTCAAAAGGTGTGCCCATGAATACTCAGTCTACACAAAGAATAATGATAGGAATACTCTAATCGTAGGAGTGTATGTAGATGATCTTCTGGTAATAGGAAGTTGTCCTGCAAGTGTTCAGACATTCAAGGAGGATATGAACACCAAGTCCGAAATGAGTGATCTTGGTCTCTTGACATACTATTTGGGGAATGAAGTGAACCAGCATCCAGATGGAATCAGTCTAAAGCAAGAAGCTTATACCAAGACTCTTCTCATTAAGACTTGAATGCACGACTGTAACCCCTCAAAGAGTCCAATGGAACACAAGCTTCAACTTCGCAAGAATGAAGAAGGTGAAATGGTAAATCCCATAGAGTATTGAAGTATAGTTGGTGGGTTAAGGTATTTGACCCATACTCGACCAGAAATCACCTTTGCAGTTGGAGTAGTCAGCCGGTTCATGGAGAGACCAATAGTTAAACATCTTCAAGCCATGAAATCAATACTTAGGTATGTTAAAGGAACACTTGATTTTGGTTTGAAGTACTCTAGAGGGAAGAAGGACATCAATCTCAAAGGATACACCGATAGTGACCTGGGAAGTGATGTAAATGATAGAAGAAGTATAGGTGGTATGGTTTTTTATGTCAATGAAAATCTCATTACATAGGCATCTCAAAAACAAAGGTGTGTAGCTCTCTCTTCTTGTGAAGCAAAGTTTATGGCAGCCACTAAAGCTGCTTGTCAAGGAATTTGGCTGAGAGGACTCATTAGTGAAATAACTGGGCAAAAAGTACCACCTGTAGCATTTTTGGTTGATAACAAGTCATCCCTTGATCTAATGAAAAACCATGTGTTCCATGGCAGAAGTAAGCACATCGACATACGATTTAACTTCATTTGTGAATGTGTGGAAAAGGGTGAAATCACTGTGTCACATGTATGGAGCAAAGAGCAAAAGGCAGACATTTTTACAAAGCCACTGGGAAGATTGAAGTTTGAAGACACGCGATCACTCCTTGGAATTGAGAAGATTTGAAAGGCCAGAACTTCTGAATTAAGGAGGGGAAGTATTAAAGTAATTCAGAGTACAGGTCATGTTTTGGCTTATGTATGTTTTAATTTAATTTCTTTAGCTTTTAGTAGAAAAGAATAAGTCAAGATCATGTGGGTTAGTGTCCCCTGGTCTCTAGCTAGCAGTTGCTATTTTTTATGCAAAGTTTTGTTTAAATAGTTAGGTATGTACGAGGAGTTCGTATCCTCTTTTCTCTTCTAGTTTATGAATACGAAATTTGTAGCTTTCTGCCCCTGTCCTGTGTTTTACTTTCTTGTCCCATTTCTCTTTTAACTCTGCCCACTGTGCTATTCAATTTTTGTCCCCTGTTGTGTTAATTTCAGCATAAAGACATAAATACCCTTGTATAAGGCCAGTAGAGCCTTCCCAGTCGTCGCACCTCTACCTGTTGTTCCGAACAGAAGAAGTTCCTTGCTGGAGTACCATCAATATGCGACTGTCAGAGATGTCGTGGGCATCAAAGGACCACGAAGAACCAGGGAAAACCCTGTCATGTGCATCGTTGTGCAAGTCGTCAACAATAATGAGGCCCTCGGTAAGACTGCTCGCCACTCACCCTTCTTCTTCTTCTTCGTTTCTATTGGTTCGATGTCGTGGGACACCAATGTGCCACCGGTGAACTTTTTGGCTACCGTTTCTATCTTTTTCGATGGAGATAGCCACTTCAGAGGTGGATGAATATGAATGTCATCGTGTATTCAGGCTGTCATCAGTTTGGGTGGTGTTGTATGTGAAATATCTAGCCAAAAACCCGCCCCTACTTCATGGTGATGGCTGCCACCTTGTTCTACCGCCCATTTCCGCCACCAGCCACCGTAGGAGGTGGCTATGTTTTTGTTTATTAGTAATTATGAAGAAGCATGTGTGATTTTTGGACAGGAACCACCACCACCATTGGAAATGGTAGCTGCCGCCGTTGTGCCGTTGCTGTTGCTATCGGACCTCCACACGCCGCCATGAAGTGGGTGATCGTGTGCATTCCCGAGAAGGAGGCATATTTTGTGGTGTGTGTTTTGTTTAGCCGGAAAACCAAGGAAGCCACCACAACCATCGTAAGGTGGTGGCTGCCGCCACAAGCCACTGCCGGCCACCACTAGGGTGGTCGTGTGTGTGTTAGAGTAGTTAGTGTGTGTTTCTTTGTGGATTAAAAGCTTGTAATTGTAATGAGCAATAGATGTAATGAAAAGAACCATAACCATCACCGTGAGCCGCCATTGACCACCACTACCCGAGGTGGTAGTGGGTGGTTCCCCACTAGTAAAACCCTAATGGGCTTAAAGATTAATTTAAGGCCTATTGGGCCATGTTTGGGTGGAAATCCTAATTAGGGTTTAGAAAACCCTAATTTTAATTATGCGGGCCTTGTACTTATTGAGAACCACGTTTGGGCCATTAAAATATGATTTTATATTAAGCCCAACTATTCCATATCATTTATTTAGAAGAGTGATGGACTTAATGGATTAAGTCCATAATGGGTTAAGTGAGAAACACTTAACCCTAATTGTCATTTTATGTGAAACCCTAATTTCACTTGGGCTTTGTGTTGGGCCATGCAAGAATAAGCAAATGGACTAGAAAAATTTAATGGGCTTTAGGGTAAGGCCCATAGGAGGGTTTGGGACCAATTTGGAAAATTGGGCCATAGATGGGCCACTGTTTGGGCCTTAATGATTATATGATATTGGGCCTTAGAATAAGATCATGTATAGGCTTAGGTCCAATTTGGAAAATTGAGCCATATGTTGGGCTTTGAGCCATAGTTAGACTTTGGGCCTTAAAATTGAGTCCAACTAAGTTAAGGGTAAAGTAGCCTTTTTACCTAAGTATGGACTTATGGTTATGAGTTGGAACCCAATTATTAATTGGGTGTTATTTTGATATTGACAGATCGGGAATCTGTCATCCAGCTACTATGGTTTTGTCAGCGGGACTTCAGCATGTGAAGTGAGTTTTCCTCCAGTAGGAACCGGTCTAAGGCACCAATGCCGGTCCGTTTATATATTGGTAGTATATCGGTGTTAGCCCAATGCAGTCTATATGTTTCCGGACTTCAGTCCATTGCCGGGGTGGTCCGGAGAAGTAGTTATGTATGCTTGAAGTCTTTGTGATTCATGCATGTGTATGTTATGTGTTATATGCTTCGGACATCGGTCCGATGTCGGGCAAGCCCGATACAGTATATGTGATTACGTTATATGTTTATTTTATGTTCAGCTTATTCTAGACTTCGTTCCGATGCAATGGGCGAGGCCCAAGTTATTCCAGACTTCGTTCCGATGCAGTAGGCGAGGCCCTAGTTATTCCGGACTTCGGTTCGATGCAATGGGCGAGGTCGTAGTTAGTCCGAACTTCGGTCCGATGCAACAGGCAAGGCCCTAGTTATTCCAGACTTCGGTCTGATGCAGTTGGCAAGGCCCTAGTTAGTGCGGACTTCGGTTCGATGCAGCAGGCAAGGCCCATTATTTGCTTTATGTGTTATTGTATGGTATGTGGTAGATTGGAGGAGCTCACTAAGCTTCGTGCTTACAGTTTCAGTTTTGGTTTTAGGTACTCAGTTTTCAAAAGAGGAGCTCGGGAAGATTGCAGTGCACACACCATCTGTTCAGCCTCGGATGTTTATACTATGATATTTTGACAATTGTTACAATATTTTGAGATACACTGTTTATGATTTTTATATGATGTTCGATGACTATGGATTTAATATTAAATTAAAACGAAATTTTTAGACTGTATTTTTGGGATGTTACAAGTTGGTATCAGAGCCCTTGTTTGAGGGATTCAGGCGCATTTCTGAGTGTGTATGAACTCAAACTAAGGAAGTGGTATAAAGTTTTCAAAAGAAAAGATTTTTAGAAGAGCGAAAAGAATTTTTAGAAAGAAAATAACTTTGAAAAGAGAAAAAGGGTGTGGTGCATGCAATCAGCCGAGCTCAAGTAAGTACTCCCAAATTACCCATACAATTTTATGTTATGATATAAGATTTATTTGAACAACATGCTAGATTAGTACTAAGGATCTAGGAAGGATGCCTTATGTGCCTGTTATATGTGTTCCAGCTTTTTGAGAACTGCATGCCAGTACAGAATTGTCAGTATGATAGCCAGAGTAGTAGGTGCTTGATTATGTGTACTCGATGCTTGAATGCTGCTTGCTTTGTGCTCTTATGAGTCTTATCTATCTTTTAATAACTAGTAAATGAATATGTTAGATTCCATATTGCCAGGATTAAATAATTTCAGAAGGTTAGGTCTAGCTCTATTTCGCAGCTCTTGTTTGAGTCCAACCATTGTAGGGTAGGATCTCTCATTCGAAGAATTATCTAGTTTGAATGATATGTAATAGTATTCGCGAGCTAGTTATGGGAAGAAAGCAGGGACTTCTTATGCAGCCAATGGCGAAGAGTGGAATGGTGATTACCCTAGGGCAAGCCTAGGATGAGAGTAGTAGAGAGCAGTAGCAGTATAAGGGACTTGGTGGAGTCAAGGCAGTTCTTGAGGAATCTACGGATAGATGTGGAAGGTAGTATGGGCCCATACTACTGAAAGTAGAGGATCCATACTCGAATGAAGTAAGGCTGAGATAAGATTAGGGAACTTGTAGTGTGTGAGATCCCTCGAGTATGATGAGTATTATGATGATCGTGATGGTATATTTCCATGTATAGTGACGCTTACTGGTAGACCAGATGGTAGTTCTGGTGTCGACAAGGGATCGGGCTCAGACTTTGTAGCCGGGCAGCTCGATGATCAGATGATGGAGTTCATTCCATCTGATATTATGCGCAATATCATTGACCAGAATCATGTGATCCTCAGTATGATCAAAAAGTGCATTATAGAGACTTGTGATGAGAGGTCGAGTGCATTTTGCACTGAGGTTGTAGTCATGATAGGGACCCGTATGTTGACGTTTCGGGAATTCGGAGTTTGTGAAGCTTTAGATTGTCATAGGGGATATGGACCCCATTGTTAGCAGCAGATGTCGCCAACACATTTCATACCAAACGTTGTCTTGAAAGGAGACACGATCCGACTCACTTCTTGTATCCTGAGGAATAGAGCACGAGATTGATAGAAAGAGATTGGTAGAAGGTTGAGTGATGATGTGGTTCATGCTATGTCATGGGATGACTTTTAGACCATATTATGGCCAGATTGTGCCTAGTCGATTGAGGCGCAACAGTTGGCACAAGAGTTGTTAGATCTCCACCAGACAACTGAGACTGTGGTAGAGCTCACTACCAAGTCTCGGGAAAGAGCTTATATGGTACCACAGTATGCAACAGATGAGGGAATGAAGAAGGTAAGTTATCAAAACATATTGTAGAGTGATAGCAGGAAGAACGTGAGTATCTTATGGTGCAACACCCTGAATGATAGGACTTCTAGAGCTTGAGAACGAGATATGGACTTGGAGCACATTGGTAAGAGGGAATCACATCAGTTGCGGGAAACTGCACTTGCGGGAAACTACACAAGGGATCCTTTCGTTCCAAGGGTTTGAGTAAGTGTGACTCTGGGTTATCCTCTGTTTGTGTTGAAATAAACTTCCAAGAAATGGTATATGCCAATTGCATAGAGTAACACCAGCAAAAATTAGGTCAAAAATAAATCTGTTTAGTAACCATAATTGGGATGTACTAACTGGTAGATATCGCAACAAGGTTGCCAAAAATATAAAGAACACTAAAATCCGAGTTATAACGAAGAAGTTATGACCAATCGAAGATCCGTGACAATACTGATAAAACACAATATTCCAATAAAATGGTTTTTAACCTTAGGTATCTAAATGAAAGTTGTAGATATCCCAAAACCGTAAACATACATAAAAAGAACGCCCAAATCTGACTTCATATGAGGAAGTTATGATTTTTCGAAGTTTCGGACATAGTAGTAGACAGCTAAAAACTCGGAATAGAGATCGAGTGACTTTTAGCCAACGTGACCTAAACGAGAATCGAAGATCACATAAATGGTAATACAACGGTAAAAAGACAGACAAAGATGAGCATCGGATGAAGAAGTTATGGATTTTTCACGGACTTTTCCAGTCCCAGCCTGTTAAAAATATATTATTAAAAATAAAATCAGAATTAGCCGACGGAGTCTAAATGAGAGTTGTAGATTATTTTCTCACCTATGTGTGGATATAAAGAACGTCGAAAATGAAGCTCGTACGCAAAAGTTACGGAATTTCAAAGAACTGGGCACACATCTTGAGGCTGGTCCGAAGGGAACGCCCTGCGTTCGCAGATCTGAACCGAGTCCCTTCGCCATCCAATCCGAGATTCGTAATCAATGAAGCACTAGGCTCCAGAACGCACTGCGTACAAGGGAATGCTTTGCGTTTGCAGATCAGAACTGAGTCCCATCGCCATCCCATCCGAGCTTCGTAAGCAGTGACGCACTAGGCTCCAGAATGCACTGCGTACAAGGGAACGCTCTGCGTTCGAGGCCTCTTCCATCCCTATAAAAAGGATGCGAAGGCTCCGGGTTTTGGTTGCTAATTCTCAACTTTCTCCCTCAAAATTCATACATCTACCGTCTTGAGACTATCCCGACATCCTGGTTTCGTATCTAAGCACTTACGGAAATTCGAAGCCCCGATATTTTGGAGAAATCTACTTCTTTCCAGTCGAAGTGCTGCCTAAGCAAAGTATCATTTTCATCAAATCATGACTTCTACCAAGTGAGTTCATACCCCTACAAACACACTTTAAATACATTTTAACTGCTTTTAAATACTTTTAGGGGGGATACAAGTAAACACACGGTAAAAATCGTGTGAAAAACATCAATCTCTTGCTATACTTTTTATTATATAATCAATCATATGTGATTTATAACTATCATAAGAAAACGTTAGCATGCAAAACATCTCATGATACCATTTTGCCCTTGTTGAATAATACATGTATATATATATATATATATATATATATATATATATATATATATATATATATATATATATAACAAACTATATTTCATTTATATGTTCATATAGCATATCATAAACATGGGTAACCATTTCATCATAACATTACTCGTTTAAAAATACATGACTTAGTTGAGAATATGTGAGTCAT